CTTTTCTTTTCTTTTCTTTTCTTTTCTTTTCTTTTCTTTTCTTTTCTCTTTTCTTTTCAGTAGGGTTCACATCCAGTGTGGAACCCAACGTGGGGCTTGAACTCACAACACCTGAGCTGATATCAAGGGTCAGGCACTTAACTGACTGAGCCCCCAAGCACCCCTTACCCTCCCCACATTTTAAACATAAATGCCTTTTTTTTCTTTAGTAAGCATAAATGTCTTTAGTGTTTCTTCTACTTATATTGAGCACTATAGGAAATGATACAATGTTGCCCAAACATCAAATACAACAAACTCCTTATGAAAAAGAGTCTATTATATTTACCCTTATTTTTCTCAGTTCCCTTGTTCTTTCTTCCTGCATGAAGTCTCAGTCCTCCTTCTGTTATCTTTTCGGTGCTATTTGAAGAATTCCTTTAGCAATTCTTTAAAGATAGATCTGCTGGAGATATTTTCCCCGTTTTCCTTTGTCTCAGAACGTCTTTATTTCTCCCTTGTATCCTAAGGATGGCATCACTGGATATAGCATTCGGGATGACAGTTTCTTTTCTTCTAGTACTTGAAAAACGTTGTCACTTCTCGATGGACACAGATGAGAACCCCACGGACACTTGAACCCTTTTTCCCTTAGAGGTTTGCCTAATTTCTGTGTAGCTGCTTTTGAGATTTTTCCTTTTCTTTAGTTTTCCTCAGTTTGATTATGATGTATCTTGGCTTGAATTTCTTTAGGATTATCCTGTTTGGCTATTCAGTATGAATATTTATGCCTTGTGCCCAACTTGGGAAATTTTCAGCCATTATTTTTGGAAGTCTCTCTTTTTTTTTTTTTTTTTTTTTTTCTTTTTTTCATCTGCAACCCCTTTTTTTCTCTTTCTGGTTGTCCATGCTTTACCATATACTCTTACTGGTCCCTGAGACCCTGTCCACTTTTGTTTTCAGTCTGTTTTCAAAGTGAGCAATCTGTATTGTATATTCAAATTGATCTATCCTTCTGTCATCTGTAATCCATGATAGAGCCCATCCAGTGAGGATTTTTAACAATCCATTATTATGTTTTTCTGTTCTATAATTCCCATTGGATTTTTAAAAGCCATCACTAAATAATTCCATTATCTGTGTCATTTAAGTGTTGCCATCTGTTGATTATCTTTTCTCTTTTGAGATTTTAGTGGTCTTTGGTATGGTAAGTAATTTTCTCTCTCTTTAAAATGTTATTTTGAGAGAGCGAGCGAGAGAGTCCTCACACCAGCACACAAGCAGAGGAGGGGCAGAGTGAGAGCAAGAATCCCAAGCAGGATCCTCTGCCATCATAGACCCCAACACAGGGCTCGAACCCTTGAACTGTGGTATTATGACCTGAGCCAAAACCAAGAAGTGTTGGATGCTCAACCCACTGAGCTACCAGATGCCCCTATATTGAGTGATTTTCTTTTTTTTTTTTTATTTCTTTATTTATTTTGTAATTTACAGCCAAGTCAGCATACAGTGCAACAGTGATTTCAGGAGCAGATTCCTTAATGCCCCTTATGCATTTAACCCAATTTAACCCAACTCCCTCCCACAACCCCTCCAGCAACCCTCAGTTTGTTCTCCATATTTATGAGTCTCTTCTGTTTGTCCCCTTCCCTGTTTTTATATTATTTTTGTTTCCCTTCCCTTACGTTAATCTGTTTTGTCTCTTAAAGTCCTCATATGAGGGAAGTCATATGATGTTTGTCTTTCTCTGACTAATTTCACTTAGCATAATACCCTCCAGTTCCATCCACGTAGTTGCAAATGGCAAGATTTCATTCATTTTGATTGCCAAGTAATACTCCATTGTATGTATATATACCACATCTTCTTTATCCATCCACCCATCGATGGACAATTGGGCTCTTTCCATTCTTTGCCTCTTAATTGATAGTGCTGCTATAAACATGGGGGTGCATGTGCCCCTGCAAAACAGCATACCTGTATCCCTTGGATAAATACCTAGTGGTGCAATTCCTGGATTGTAGTGTAGTTCTATTTTTAATTTTTTGAGGAACCTCCATACTGTTTTCCAGAGTGGCTGTACCAGTTTGCATTCCTACCAGCAGTGCAAAAAAATCCTCTTTCTCCGCCTCCTCGCCAACATCTCTTGTTGCCTGAGTTGTTGATGTTAGCCATTCTGGCAGGTGTGTTTCCCTGATGTTGAGCATTTTTTCATGTGCCGGTTGGCCATCTGGATGTCTTCTTCGGAGAAGTGTCGATTCATGTCTTTTGCCCATTTCTTCACTGCATTATTTGTTTTTTGGGTGTTGAGTTTGATAAGTTCTTTATAGATTTTTGGATGCTAACCCTTTATCTGATAAGTCGTTTGCAAATATCTTCCCTCATTCTATTGGTTGCCTTTTAGTTTTGCTGATTGTTTCCTTCGCTGTGAAGCAGCTTTTTATTTTGATGAGGTCTCAGTAGTTCATTTTTGCTTTTGTTTCCCTTGCCTCCGGAGACATGTTGAGTAAGAAGTTGCTGTGGCCAAGGTTAAGGAGATTTTTGCTGCTTTCTCCTTGAGGATTTTCATGGCTTCCTGTCTTACATTTAGGTCTTTCCTCTATTTTGAGTTTATTTTTGTGTATGGTGTAAGAAAGTGGTCCAGGTTAATTCTTCTGCATGTTGCTGTCCAGTTTTCCCAGCACCACTTGCTGAAGAGACTGTCTTTATTCCATTGGGTATTTTTTCCTGCCTTGTCAAAGATTAGTTGTCCATACGTTTGTGGGTCCATTTCTGGGTTCTCTATTGTGTTGCATTGATCTGAGTGTCTGTTTTTGTGCTAGTGTAATGAGGGATTTTCAATTGTATTCTAGACATTTGGGATATTATGTTTTAAGGCTCTGGATTTTATTGACATCTCTTATTTATCAGGCCTCCAAGACTACCACAGTGCAAGTCCAGGCTTCCCACTTGACCTCCACTGACAACACGGAAAGTGGAGAGGTGTCTTATTCCCTGAGTGTGGAGAGAAGTCTGGGCCGCTCACTTGGCTTCTATTGATCACTGTTGATCTGTGAGCCACACAGGGAGAGGACTGGTCTCGGTTTCTTTATGATGGTATTTGGGAGCATTTCAAGTATTGTAAAAAATACCTGTTTTGCTAGAATACTCCTCTCCTGGGCCTTTGGCTAAATAGAGTGGATGATTTTTGGAACTTTTTTTTTCTTGAACTTGATATCATTTCTGGGTTCCATTCTTCTTTAGTGCTCAGTCCAGGGTCCGTAGAAGGCACAATGAAAACCCAAATGAACTGTGTAATTCCTTGAATCCCAAGGTCTCTTATCTGATTGATATCTTCTCTGATTCTTTTGTAATCTCCTATGTTGGTTTTTATAAGATGTTCAGGGTTTTTAGTTTTACTTAGCAGAAGGGATAAGCAGAAATGTTTCTACGTCATCATGTCCAGAATGGGAGGGCAGCAGTTGCCTTTCACATTATATAGATTTGTAATTCTTTGACATGATTAAAGAAACTGATGTTTCTTTTGTAATAACAACGAAAATCAATACATAGTAGACCATGCAGTATGTTGTAACTAATGAGAAAAATTTCTTTGTGTATATTAGCTATCCGTCTGGCATTTATTCAGTAGGAAAAATGGTTTTTAATACCAGAATACTGCAAAGCAGACATATTTGTTAATGCTTTATGTGTACTTTCATGTGGAATTAAAGGAAGTGCTTAAAAGTGTTATTCTCAGTTTAAGTGATTAGAATTTCTCCAATGAATCATTTCTGTCAGCAGAAGTCTTGATATTGTATATTGTGGTACATTTCTATTTACTTTACTTTAACCTGATTTTCTTTGCACTTTCAGTAAATCAAATAATATCTTTTTAGATCCTGATGAAAACTGTGGGCCCCCTCCGCCTCTTGACAATGGAGACATGACCACATTCCCCAAATCAGAATATCCTCCAGGATCATCAGTTGAGTACCGGTGCCAGTCCTTGTATGTGCTTGAGGGAAACAAGGTCATCACATGCAGATATGGACAGTGGTCAAAACCACCAAAGTGCTTAGGTAAATATTTTAATATTCACCTGGATCCTGGGAAATAATGAGAAAGGTGTTTTGCTGTTATTAACAGAATATTCATGGATTAACCACAACCATTCTGTCAAACGTTTGACTACTAAATATTAATCTGTGAAGAAATAAAGTTAGAAAAAAGTCTTACTCAAACAACAACAGCAACAAAATATTCTTTAATGAAAGCTCTTCCTATTGTTATTGACATGATGGATCTTTTATTATAACATTTAATTATCACACCTTAAACACAGTACCTCATTTTTACATCATTAATCATTTAAAATGATTTACATCTACGTGATAGATTTTCATTGTATTGGTTTGGAAAAGGTTTGGCAACAGAGCCCTGGGCCAGTGTAGAAGATTCTACTTGAAAGTCTGAAATTCTGTGGAAAATATTTGTTTACTTCTTAATGCTTATGTTCATTTTTTTTAAACCTTCAGATGTATGTATAATATCAGAAGACTCCATGGAAAGACATAACATACAATTACGATGGTCTTCTGTGAAAAAACTGTATTCCCCAACAGGGGATACTGTTGAATTTGAATGTAAAACTGGATATCATAGACAGACATCGCAACAAACATTCCGAGCAACCTGTTGGGAGGGGAAGCTGACCTATCCTGTTTGTGTAAAAAACCATGGTTAAGATGCAGTCCTAAAACTAAAATATGTACAATATTGAGAATTTTTCATTGTCAATCCAACTCAGTTTATTTTGTCAAGTGTTATTTAGCTCATTTACTTTCATAAATCAGAATTTGTGTTAAATATTATATGGATGATGTAATTAAATCTGAGAGACAGATAAATCACATCTTAAAAGTACCTCATTAAAACTTGGCAAACCAAAAAAAAAAAAAAAAAAATTGAAAAAAAAAAAGGGGCGCCTGGGTGGCGCAGTCCGTTAAGTGTCTGACTTCAGCCAGGTCACGATCTCGCGGTCCGTGAGTTCGAGCCCCGCGTCAGGCTCTGGGCGGATGGCTCAGAGCCTGGAGCCTGTTTCTGATTATGTGTCTCCCTCTCTCTCTGCCCCTCCCCCGTTCATGCTCAGTCTCTCTCTGTCCCAAAAAAATAAATAAATGTTGAAAAAAAAAAAAAAACTTGGCAAACCAAAATTCTTTATGTCCTATTCTTAAAATATCTATGACAAGAAATTAGATTCAACCATTTCAGTGGTGACTTCTATCCATCTTTCTCCTACCTTTCTCACATCTTCCTCCAAATTTCTGAGCCTTCCTGAAACTATCCATTTCAGAGGAAATGGGAGAAGATACTTCTTTACAGCTTCAAAATAAGTTCACTTCAAAAACACATCAAAATCTATGTCATACCTCTGTCAGTTAGAAGATGTAAGCAGTTACTACTTAATATTGCTTATCTAAGCAATAGATATTCCAAAAAACGATGGGATACGTGATCTCCTAAAAGATGACTCTCTAGCACACATAAAAATTCAAAGAAATCGTAAAGAGAAATTGGATCTAACTGGTGCATAACTATCCTAAAACGTAACATGAAAGGGACAAAAGAATACATCAAGTATAAACACACAGAATGCTTTGAACACTGCATAAATGTTTACAGAGCAAAGATTGTCAGGAAGTAAAATAAAAAGTGTACAATAACTATAGTTGAATTTAGAGAAACTAGGGGTAGGAGTTGGTGTTGAACTTACACTTACCTGCAGTCTCCACTTTTTCTATCTTTCATATATATCACCTTTAAACCCCAAAATGTGTTATTTTAAAATAAAGATAAAGTAAGACAGTACATGCTGAGAACTATGAGAACCTCTTTGGTAATGATCTTCAAATCCAGTGACACATTCAGGATGTTGTTAGTATAGAGAGTTTTGGAAACATTCAACCATAAGAGTCTGAAATATGATTTTAATGTTCATACATTCCAAACAACATAATTAGTTAACATCAATTGAACATAAACATTTTTAACTTCTACAAAAACATAAAAACTTAAAGATGAAAATAAAGATATAATTAAGGTAAAAATATTTTAAGGTGATATCTTCTTCATTTTGCATCAAATCAAGTGGCATTCTTAGAATGAGTAAGCTGGCTGTCTCCAATGGAGCCAATTTATCTAAATCTGAATCACAAATGAGAGTCAATTTTCTCACATTTAAAGGACTATTGTTAAAATTGTCAAGTTATCTGTGGTGTTAATATTGGTGTAAATACTATTTCTCCAGGACATTTCACCTAATGCTGGTGGAATCAGTGTATGACAATTGGCCTGTAACCAATATGACCTATAACCATTTATTTTCACTTTTGGCTGCAAAATAATTACTTTTAAGATTAATTCTAATATTTTTCTGCAGTTATTGTCATTCCTGTGTAAAGATGAGTGTTACTTTGCCAACTCACTATAGCTTTGAACTGAAAAGGTTTGGTAAATCTTTAATTTTCAGTTTTTAGAGTAAGAACTTGATAATAGTGAACTTCTGATAGCTTTACATATATATATATTTGTTTTGTTTTGTTTTGTTTTGTTTTGTTTTGTTTTTAATGTTGTATCACCGGGGCACCTGGGTGGCTCAGTCGATTGAGCATCCATCATGATTTTGGCTCAGGTCATGGGATGGAGCCCAGGACTTGAGCTCTGGGCTCTGCGCTGAGTGGGGAGCCTGCTTAAGATTCTTTCTCTGTTTCCATTTGCCCCACTCTCACCACAGAGCTCTCCTCTCTCTCTCAAAAAAATTCATACATACATACATACATACATACATACATAAATCAAGATGGATTCCTGAATTTTTATTTATTCAATTTATCATAATGAATTATAGGCATTATTTTTGAAGCTCAAATTATCCCAAATTTGGCTAGTTGAGAGCCCCTTGAAACTAGCTGCTGATTGCTTTGTTATACCGCATTATTCTTTGAGCATTTCTTAAGACAACATGATGTTCCAGGCTCTCTGGGTATTTCCCTGCCCAATACCTGTAAGCATACACCTTTCCAAAGGGGTCTGATTCCTTTTACTGGGAAATAGTGTTTAGAACCCAAGAATTGTACCATCCTGTGAAGAGATTTATGTTGAAATAGAAATGTTCGACACCGTGGAAACGTCTTTAAATGTCTTCTTGCTTGACAGAAGACTGAAATAGAAGTGAAATTTAAAATTCATTTGCTCCTATTGGATCTTACAATTCAAGTTTAATAACACAGGGTTAAAAACTTTCTAGTACATTTTCTGTCTCTTCTCTTTACTCACATATTCTTATATTTCAGTATTTGCAAAAATAATATAAAAAGTTTAATGCAGGGGCTCCTGGGTGGCGCAGTCGGTTAAGCGTCCGACTTCAGCCAGGTCACGATCTCGCGATCCGCGAGTTCGAGCCCCGCGTCGGGCTCTGGGCTGATGGCTCGGAGCCTGGACCCTGTTTCCGATTCTGTGTCTCCCTCTCTCTCTGCCCCTCCCCCGTTCATGCTCTGTCTCTCTCTGTCCCAAAAATAAATAAACGTTCAAAAAAAAAATAAAAAATAAAAAGTTTAATGCAAACATTACTACTACCAGGTAAACTACTGAA